AACTCCACCGATTTTACACATCAAGGTCTGTTTATTGGTCTCGGGGAGTACTGCTTCATATGTGAAAAAAGTTGTATGAAGCCTTTTGTGGCTCCAGAGGGAACTGCACAAAATCTTATAAATTGCCTCAAGTGATGTCACTTGAGTCAGTGTCTGTTGGGGCTGAAAACTACAAGTTTGAGAGGAGTTTGAAAGCAGTGAACTCATCTGTAGCCTGCTCCTCATCTCTGCTTGAGGCTACGTTAGCTGTGATTAGCATGATACACCCACATCTCAAGCTACACTGTGGGCAATATAGGCACCAGATTTCAACAAGGAAGAAGAATGGGTGGAATACAAGATAATATCTCTGTTTTTGCTGCCCATGTCCAACAATGTCACAGGAGTCCAATGCTGAATACTCTTTTAATGGGCCAGTTCGTAGGATTTAGTGGCATCTAGCGGTGTAGTTGTAGATCCCAACTCTGTCGTTTCCCCCTCACCTTCCAAGTGCAAAGGAGAAACTACGGTGGCTGCAAAACACGCAAAAAACACAAACGCCCCAATCCAAAGCCAGTGTTTGGTTTGTCCCTTTTTGGATACTGTAGAAACATGGCAGCTCAAAATGGGAAGGCGACCCGCGGCGTCTGCAGATATAAACAGCTCATTCTTAGGGAATGAAAACATAACAATTCCTATATTCAGATAATTATACACAAATGAAAACATAACTGAATGTTATATTCTATTTCTGTCAATAGAGCCTCCTAAATGTTACCCACTGGACCTCTAAGAGAACTCACTTTCAGTTTGTTTTTCTCAAATATGGCCCAAAGAGATTCGATTTGATACATTTTCTTTTTTTTTTGCTTTAATACTTCATCTGATGAAGAAACACTTAAATCAAACTGTGTGTGTGAATATTTTATGTATTTTTTAAAAGTTTAAATTGGTTTCTTTTTTTTTTGGTCAGTAAGCCTCCCAGACTACAAAACACCTGTCACTGTGATCATATGATGTTCTTTAAACAACCAGATGGGTCCTCCAGAAAAATGAATAAAGACACACACAGACATACACTAGCACACACACACACACACACACACATGGCCAATCATGGTCTCCTAGCAACTCCTAGTTAGTGGTCCTACCTTGGGAGTGATGCTCTTTTCACTTACATCAGGTGTTTGCCCACTAGGGAAACCACAAATAACCTTGGAATGACCCCCTGCTGAAACGCAGACACATTTCACCTCGCTCCCACAAATCACATCTAAACCTTTTACCCAGTCAACCCCCCAAAATTATTAATACCGCAAGATATTTCTCTTATATTTCCGCACCACTACTACATTAATAGAGTTTTAGGTTGACCTTTCTGGTGGTTTCTGTCCTGAGAAGTCAGATGGGTGGAAGTGGATGCAGCGGTTAAGGATCCAAAAGAAGTGAGCTGTAATGAGCAGAAATAACACCTGAGGGCTCATGTTTCTACATCACATATCAGTCACTTTATAAGGAGGGAGGACAAGCTGTCGACTCTGAGATTTAACAGCATCTGCGGAGGGCCCAGTTGGTGTCCTGTCCCACACTGGGCCAGCAGCAGAAACAGTAATCTGCTATCGTGTGTGTGTGTTTGTGTGCGAGAGAGATTGAGCATACAATAGAGACATTGTTTATATTCATTTTGTGCATGTGTATGCAGTGTTGTAGCAGTGTGGAAGGTGAATCCATGTGTGTGGTGAACTACATTTGTGTGTGCAGGTGCTGTACAGTATAATGTGTGTGTGTGTGTGTGTGTGTGTATGGCCTCCTGATGAAGACTCCCCTTTTACACAATCTCTCCACACAAACTTCACTATCTTAATTCTGCCTTGTTCTTTTACATTTCTGATATGACTAAAGAGAGGATGTACTGTACTGTACTGATGATAATGATGATGAGTTTAGATAATTTAATATTAATAGTAATAATTTAATACATCAGCTGATACAGATTCACACATAATGTATATTTAAAAATTAAGGAACTGCTTCATGAATTGATTTAGCAGAAATTATATTACAACTAAATGTTTCACAAAAAATACATAATTTATTTCCCCCTTAGGAATTTATTTCACTTACAAAATACTGTTGTAGGATTTGTAAAACCTCTTTAATTAAGCATTAAATATACACTTCCTCAATTTATGGCTGTGTATTGAATTGCATTAGATTTTAGCGGTGAACCTAATAAAGAAGCCACTGAGTGTACATTTTAATATAACATGATCCTTTTAAGATGTTTAAGATGTTGAGTTTCTGCTCTTGTGCAAGTACACAGAGGCAGACAGCAGACATTGTTTGTTAAGCAGCATCACCTGCTGGCTTAATGGAGAACTGCCAACATTACAGTAATTGCCAAAGAATGAGACAGAAACGACAGCAACACAGAAACAGAACGAGAAACCTCTTTAAGCCATCAAAACAAGCAAACAAACAAAAAAACAGAGGGGTGTGAACTGCTACACAGTGTTGATCTATAGAAAGGAGATTTAAATAAGACACATTAAGTAAAGGTGTATTCACTGAGGTGTGCCACACAAACTGGAAATTATTTACTAAAAGAAGATAATATTTCGCAAAACAAAAGACAAAAGTGTTACACATTAGAAAGGAATGTGTTGTACTTAACCCTTCCCTAAAATTATTTTCAATCTTTGAAGATAAGCTGTAATGCAATGCAGTAATGTATGCAGTAGTACTGTAGGGAAGTGTCTGAGACATTCCACCTGGGTGCTCGTTTTAAAATAGTTCCACATTGGCTATGAAGACGTCTCATTCCCTGCTTATTTTTGAATCATGCAGAAAGTTAAAACGCCCATTTTGGGTTTGGAGTGCTGTCACATCACTGAGCCAAAGTCATGAATGAAGACATTTCAGCCAAAGCTCGGATCGACGTTACTGGAAACCAATTCCCAAACAATAAACAGAAAAACAATGCTGTTCCTATGACCAAGGCATCAAAGACAACAGATACTGAGGAGCCTGATTTAAGAGATTTAGAGCTTTTACTTTTCGCCTGCGTTAACAGCACAATGGAACAACAAACTGCTGATTCAACTGAAAAGAAATTTAGACATCACTTTTCACAGACATGTTAAAATGAATCCTATCATGCTTTTTCAAGAGGACATTTAATAACAGACATCATGTCACGTATGAGACGGTGCATGAGCATGTATAAAAAGATTCATTTTCATTCACATTTAAAAACAACAACAGCAAACTAGCAAAATAAATCAAATGTGTTGTGTATGAATATAGTGCACACAGGCACCTGGGCATATGATTCATGATATGAAGCCAAATATTTACCAAGTTTGGACATTCTACAAAATCATTCTTGCTATGCAAACTGGTGGGCAAAAGAAACATAGTGAAATACCAGACCCCATGTTTGGGTACGGGGCCTCCAGTGGTTGAGTGAGCTTTGACCTAAAATAGGTCTGAGAATGTGGATATGGTCTATGAATAGAGATAAAACAGACTGTGGAGGTGGGGGGGGGAAATCAAAAAGATAAAGTAACTTAAGGGCCTGCAAATAAACCTTCAGACATCAGTGCAGAAAAATGAATTTCATGTGGATGGTGGTTTGCAGAGGGCATGGGAAAATCTGCACATACTGAAGACACTTTGGTTCTTTTGAACAGTAATGCAATCATGTCGCCAGAATGTGAAGTCTGAAATGGTTTGAGAGGAGCTTCTGACTACAAAATATGTATTATGTGAGTCTTTGTAAGACATCTCCAGCAAAAAGAAGAGCAGACAAAGGACCCAGCTGTTAATTATCAGATATAATTTGTTTGGATTTTGTGTATGGGTAAAAATCAGTTATTGTGATTGCTGCTAAAGAAATAGCATATTTTCAGACAAATACTCATTTTAAATCGTCTTTTGTCCAAAGCAAGTTTTAGATACAATATATATACTTACTTATACTACAACTTTATACTTAGTATTTTAAGTACTGTTTTGTTGGTCTACCTTTCCCCCTTAAACTGCTGCCCTTGAATCAGCCTAAAAAGCAAACGTTAAGCTTTTATGTTTCAGAAGAAAATAAACATCTTAACAGCATCATATTGAAAAAGTGCAATATTATAAGACTGAGAGAAACTTAATGGCTAAAGGAGGAATAAAAGGAGAACTTATTCGACATAGCAGGCACCTGCGAGATCTACAACTTGCCACTAGATGGTGCACGACCCAGGCCACCTACAATACAGCAAAGATGACCAGAAGAGACATCAACTGAGACCTCTGTAAGATCACAATGTATGCTATTTATAAAAATGTATATTTTGGCAAAGAAGGACCACAAGACCAGATATTTACTCCCTTTCAGACGCCTTAATAAAGAACAAACTGACCAGAATATAAAAAAACCCTGAAAACTTTCCAACTGTCATATGATTGACGTGTTGATAAAATAAAACAGTTGGCTATTTTACATGTTTGTAATGTCACAGTTGATGCCTGGTGCGTCGCAGTGAGCCCTGTTATGATTCGGGCTCTCCCGGGTGCCTGCGGTCCCTCCTCCATCAAACGTCAGAAAACCAGTCGTATAAAAAACATGTGAGGCCATACAGACCGCTCAAAGTCGCATATACCTCGTTAACCTGACAGCCTGCGGTCTGCCTCCTCAGAGACAATAAAGAGGCACTAGATTTTAATGAGACAGAAAAGAGGAGAAATATGCCAAGCTGTGGGACCACTTAAATCCACCGGACTGAGCACAAGAATGCAAAAGAAAAGTTTGCTCCTACAGATATATTTGTGCCGGATAAATCTCATAAATGCGGAGCGTTTTCTGTTGTTCGGGACTTTGAATTGAGTAATGTCTCATGGGCGAACACAAACCTGGATTTCTGCTGATAGCAAAAAGGGACTGCCATCTTCATCACTAGCTCCCGAGGAAAGTTGAAAGAAACGACAGCAGGGCTTATCAGTTTGATTTGAAGGGCTAATTGACACTGACCTTGGCAGTCCTCGCCCGTGAATCTGCACATTTTAACTGACCCAAAGCGAACCAAATGCAGAGAGAAAGATGCATTTGGGTAAGGCTTTACTGTTCGTCCTCCTCCTCAACTGCGCGACTTTGAGCTCGTCTCTGTCAACTTGTGCCACCGTGGATATCGACCATGTGAAAAGGAAGAGGGTCGAGGCGATACGGGGCCAGATTTTGAGCAAACTCCGATTGACGAGTCCTCCACACTCCCTCGGACCGAATAAAATCCCTTATCAAATCCAAGCGTTGTATAACAGCACCAAGGAGCTACTGGAGGAGCTTAGAAGGGATCGGCAGCAAAGTTGCGGCCAGGACAACACAGAGACAGAGTACTATGCTAAAGAGATATACAAATTCAACATGGTCTATGGACCGCCAGAAAGCAGTAAGTATTACAACTCTTCGGACAGCTAAGTTTCTATCACTTTCTCCTTTCAGTGGGCCCGTAGTGCGCAATTACGCACCAAATGAGGAGCCCCCCGGTAAGACGCTCCAATCTCTAAACAACAGCTAGGTTCCTGTGTCACTGGTAAACATTAGCGGTATTTATAGCTTGTTACCCAGCACCTATTTTTATCCCCTAGTTTTTGATCAGCTGTACATTAAAGATCCCCCCCAGCTGGTTTAAGATAAAGAAATACTGTTTGAATAATTGTGCCTGATATGTTATTTTTCACCCAAAAAGTTAAATTACCACGTTAAAAAAAATTTCCCTCTTGTTAAAGGATCCTGAATTCTAGATATCTGCGCATAGTGAAACTGAAGGGTGTGCTTGCCCTGTGCTTGGAGGATGTGCTTTGTTACTGTAGTGCTCACCAACCTGTTTAAACCCTGCACCAGTGTTCCAGGAAAGTCACTCTCCTCCTACTCCTGACTCCACTCTTCCTCCCCTTGTTTTTTTTTTCCCCCCTCCATGGATCCTGTCCTTCTCCCCAGATGTTCCCACTTCCTTTCCAGTCAGGCCCAAATGAGAGGGACATCTGCCCAGGCGGATGGGGATGCCTTTAGGAGAAGGAGTAGGAAAAGTTAACAGAGGTGGACAGGGAAAAGTTAGATGATGGAAGGACCTCCCCGTTAGTCTGGATAGAAGGGATCCCTCTCTCCCCTGGAGTCTCACTGTACAGGAGGAGGAGTGGGGTCCTGTGAAACCTTCGCATACACTGACACATCACTACCACCCACCTCCACACTGAGCCGGAGCTTAAAGCGACCCCACTGCCCATCTTGGCAAGTGAATTACCCACACGGGTGGCCCAGGAGCATTAGATCATTTACTGCGCTGCTCAGGTTTAACTTAGCCAAATTGAGTGTGAAACTGAGCCGGCATTCATCCCCTTAAACCTGAATGATTCCACGATTCCACAAATAACAAGGTTTATTTGGGTTTGTGAAATATTTGTTAAAATGATCAGCAACAGGCCTGTTAGGCTCACATTATTTTTAGTCCGTGGGATTTGTGCTGAACCTCTACTACTCTAACTCACAACTATTTCCTCTATAGAATTAAAAGCTATGAACTGGAAGTGGAAAACCTGTGATGAGAGGGACATGTGTCAGCACTTGAGGGAGATTCATACAGCATGTGGTTCGACTGAGTCTGGATTACTGAGAAAGTAGAATAGGATAAATGCTGTGCGTGTGGAAGAGCCAAAGAGGGCCTCATGGTCTAAAGCAAAGCCAAGACCATTGCATCACAGCCCCTTTGAAATCAACAGGTGTTTCTCAAAAGACCTATTTTCCCTCAGCAATGTTCTGTTTTGAATCTCACAAAATGGTTTTGACAAAAACGCCAGGCAGTAGGTTCTTTGAGTTGGTGTGGTGGTTCCAGAGCCACAGCGCTTTAAATACAAAGATGTAAGACAGATTTACATACAAGTACCCTTTTTCTAACACTTGGGTGAAGATCACAGTTTATTTTACTGTAATCTTATGGTCTTCATGCCAGATTTAGATGTGATTAGCTAAAAAACCAGAAGGGGAAAATTACATAAAGTCACTATAATAGCATAAATGCTGACCTGACACACAAGTACCTGTATGTGTGTGTGACCTAGTCAACATCTCTACTTCAGATACTTAAAATGTCGACAAGCTCATGATATTCTCCATGTTTTTACTTTTCAATCCTAAAACTGTGGTATTGGCATGGCAGAGTGTTCAAGATTATGTCATACTTGTAAATATGCATTTTGTCAATACCCTCTATATCCACATGCATACACTGAGCCTGCTCACTGAGACTGGTTAATGTGATTTTCGTATGCTGGTGCAGTCAAGATGAACAATTTTATAGATTCGTTGTGCTAGACTCCTTCTTCTACTCTGGTGGGGAAGATTATTTTCTTCATTTAAATTACAATAAAGCGAAATAGCGTACCAGCAGATTGACTCAATATCTTGTTTAAGGATGGACCAATTATTGGCCTGCTCGATTATCGGATCCAATATTCCTAATTTTTCAAATTATTGTATTGTTTTTTCTGTCTGACTGCTGATAAAATAAATCCATTTAAAAATATGCTACTCTGGCCCTGATGCCACCACCTCTCTGTCTTTAGTCACCCCTCTGTAGTCTCGCCCAATGTCCCGTCCACAGCGCTGATCTGATTGGTAACACCTTAAAGTAAGAGATTAACAATTTTTGAAGTTATTTTTTAATATTAAAGATAAGTTTAAAATACTAAAATCGTTTTGTTTGGTCCAGTGTAAAACATTTAGGATCTACTGGCAGAAAGAGGATATAATATTCATAGGTATGTTTTCATTAGTGTATAATCACCTCAAAATAAGAATCGTTGTTTCCGTTCCCTTAGAATGACAAGATTTTATCTACATACATGTTGAACCGCCATGTTTATACAGTAGCCCAGAAGGTATAAACCTTTCCCGTCGAAACTCAAACCTTTTATGAATTTTACTTAAAATATTTTGGATCGAAAACTCACCTGATGACAGGTATATTTTTACAAACACATTTTGTCTTATGTTGCTTTCAGTCCTCTTGCAAACAACTTAAGCATCAAAGCAAATGACAAACGCGTCGTCCCACACAAATGATGTGCTTCATTTAATTTCCTCACTTTTTGTCTTAATCAGTTTAGTACTGTCTGAAAATGTACAGATGGTAACTAATCCAAAGCCTTTTTATCATATTTTTCAGAAGAGGTGTCAGATTTCTCTCCAACAGTTCCTCCAAATGAAACAATACGTAGTTTGTCCATTGCAACAACACATAGAAGCATAATTTGTTGCCCCATTCATCCACCAAACCTCCTCCTCTACTTGAACTTTGTCGCCCTACGATAGTGTCACATGACTTCCTCTTTTGCTCCCATCATAATTACTATGGTTATTACTTTAACGTATGTCATTTTGGGTCACTTGCTGACATGACGGATGTTGTCGATACACTCTGATTAGCATTTCTGCATCCAAAGCGGTCTTGGTAACAGTCCAGTGAGTCTTCTTTGTCACATACAACATGTTTCGACACTTACAGGCCTTTATCCTAGCCAGATGCTGGTTGGTTGATTTTGTTACCTTTGGAAAGAGCCAGTCTAGCTATTCCCCGTGCTCCCAGTCTTTGCTCTAAGCTGGTTGCTGTCTGTAGCTTTATATTTACTGCTCAGCTGTTCTCATCTTCTCTCTCTTACTCTCAGCAAGAAAGTGACGAACTATTCCTTTAAGATCAAGTAGAAATGGCAGACTGTGAGTGAAGCCAGTGTTACGAAGACACAGCCTTAGGGTGTTGTCCGTTGTGGTATAACAGGACCAGAAGTCTGGCTTATAAATTTTTGACTCTGAGCCAGGGACATCACTCTCTTTCCCTCGGTTAATGTGGGCAAACACACACTCACTTTTTGATGGTTTTTGAAGGTAAACTGTTGACCTTTGGTGGATCTGAGGCAGCTCTGTGAACCAACACAAATCCGTGACAGGTGCAAATGAAGCAGAAGACTGCTGGAAGACTGGCAAATTACTGCATTGAGAAGCTGGACTGCAAACATCGGAAAGATTTCCTTTTATAGCATGGTACGCATACAGAATCTGGCATATGTCAATGACTGAGGTTGGGTTGTGGAGAAGTCATCATGGTCAGAAAGGGGTTTGGGTCCAAAAAGTTGTCAGTGGGACTGAGGATAGCGAGGGTTTTGATACGCAGATACCAGGGAGGTGAAGTCATACTCAGCTCAATAATATTGCTATTTCAATTACAACATTTCTATTTCCACCAAATATAGACAAAATGTGTAAGAGAAACACTGAAGAATTTTGATAAGGCAAGGCAACCACACTAATCATTCACTGTGGGCTGATAAACTTTCTGCCAGCCATTAAGGAGTCAGTAAACACAAGATCATATTTTAGGTATGGATGGGTTTTAAGTCCTCTAGTGTGTAAAAGAAACATTTGCTGTAAATCCATGCCATTATATTCCTATTAAAGTATCGCATTATTTCAACACGTCTGAAGCAATACGATATGTCAAAAACAGAAAAAGTACCCATTGCATTGCCATCTAGAGTTTGAAATTATTATGTCTGCTGCCAACTCAGTTAACAAAAGTACTGTACCTCTTTGGAGCATGACTGAAATTACTCTGGCATCAAGTGGATAACAGTTTGATCCAAAGACTCACCCAACCTACACCTCCCTCACCAAGTCACTCAGCCAGAATATTATTATAGTATTTTTTAACTATCTGAAACTGTTTTAAATATCAGTTAATCCTTTTAAGTGTTTGTTTCAAGCAAAAATGACTAAAATTCACAGTTACAGCTACTCAATTATAAGGATTTGCTGCTTTCTTGTCTTATTCGATTAAAATTAGTATTTGTTGCTTCTGCAATTCATCAAATTTTCTTGAGGTTTAGGAAATTATTTTTTTGACATCATAAACGAAACGATCAGTCGATTTAAAAGAGAAAATAATTGTCAGACGAATCATTAACCATTATTAATCATACATTCACAGCTTTTGATGTCAACTGCAAACATGAATCAGATATAATTCCACAGCACAACAGCAAGCTTTGTTTTATGGTGGCAACACCTTGTTCCTAGTCGTTTAAATAACACAATAAATGATGGCTGAATTCCATTTAGCTGCTTCAGTTTCAGGGTCCTGGTATTGTGTATGCTGGCTCACTGTCACACTGTCATGGTTTACCGGGACTGTGGTTAAATGTAATGGACTATAAACCTGTGTTTTTCCTACTCAAAATGTCTGCTGGGAAACAGGCCTACCTTTGAATGTTTCAACTCTCATAAGAAGGAAGTCACAAATCAAGCTTTTGTGATTATGCTACCCAGAGGTGATGTCTGTGTTTAGACAAACACTACTATTGCATCATATCCTGATAAGAATGACTAAGCCTGTTCTCTCACAAAACTTTTATTTTATTCTCTCTGTTCCAGATGATCTGCTCTACTGCCCAAAAGGCATCACCTCCAAGGTTTTCCGCTTCAACGTCTCCGCCATGGAAAGGAATTCAACCAACCTCTTCAGAGCAGAGTTTCGAGCTCTGAGGATGCCAAATCAAAGCGCCAAGAGGAATGAACAGCGGATTGAGCTCTACCAGGTGCGTAAAGGTACCGTTTCCTTGTCCTTCTACCAAGATCAAAAAGGCAAAGCTTACAGTCAAGGCAGCACAGAGTTTTAAAAGTCTGTCTTTACTTAAATATAATCTTTGTTACTAGATAGTTCAGTTCTAGTCTGTCAAGAACGCATCTTACATAAGCTGGTTAGTTGTTCTCCACCACATGATTTCAAGCCCTAATTGACAAAGAGAGCCAACAATAATCAGATTGTGGTTGCAGGCGTGGGTGACAGCCAGACCAAAAGCCAAAAAGCTCAACAGGCCTGCAAAATGTTAGCAGAATCGGGACAGGGGTCCTGGCAGGCCAGGCAGAATATGGCCCTCATTTTGGTTATGTAGAGGTCTTTTACATTAAGTCCTCAAAACCATATGCAAAGTTTATTAAGCTGTAAAAAGGGGGCTCTGGTGTGCTGAGTGATGAAATGATCCACCTCCTATAAGTTGGAGTTAATGTCATCAGGTCCCTATTATTGCATAATGTCCTTTGCATTAAGGGTCCAATATAAAGATAATTATTTAAATAAAATAATAAAAAATACCACCATATGCAGACAATCAGGATCGATGTGCAGACAAACCCATGTCTCATTTTACCAACATTATGAACATTTTACTAAGGGGAATACAGGACAGAGTAATTCTTGATTTACTTACTACTTTTCATCCAAATTTGAATAATAATAGTGTATTGTTGTTTTACTCTGGACACAAGGCATGACCTGAAAGACAGGTCAGGAGTTATAGCTTAGCATTAGCGCTACCTTTATGCTATGTTAGGTGCTCCCACTGAACACACAGAACAACCACCAAGTTTCCTTTTAACCAAAAACACTTCACAATGTCACTAAATCAATATTATTATACTGTGAAAGAATAAAAAAACTAGGTGTAATGTCAAAGCGGTTGCACGCAGTGACAAAACCCACAGGGAATTAACATCTAACTCTGCACAACTTTCCACCAGGCACCTGTTTTCAGCAAGCAAGCTTTAATAATGTCTTTCTTACCGAGCCAAAAACAACATTCAGTACAGACAAGGCAAGCATCTAGCTAGCTGCTGAAGAAAGTAACAGCTAGCAAACTTAAGAGCCACATATTTCCACCAGGAGAGAAAAGCAGAGCTAAAATAAGAGTGAATATTGGACTTATATTAATTTGGTGGACACAAACATGACATGAATTTAAAGCTAGCATTTCTGCAGACTCTCTCGTTTTAGTCGCCTTATTGAATCTAATGTCCCTTTTATTCACTTTTTCAATCATCATGTAATTATCTTAGCTCATAACATAATTTATTACAAGTGATCAAAACTCTAATTAGATAATTACAACAAAGACATGAGTTTAACAAATTACATCTTCTTGTTCTTGTCCTGTCTGGTGTCCGCTCTATTCTACATGTTATTTTGTTAAAGCTGTTCCAGTATTGAGAGAAAACTGAGTGACCGCGTGTTATTGCTTTGCAGATTGTGAGGCCAAATGAACACATTAGGAAACAACGCTACATTGGAGCCAAGAACGTGCTGACCAAAGGTACTGAAGAGTGGGTCTCTTTCGATGTGACTGAAACAGTGCGGGAATGGCTGATGAACAGAGGTGAGACTGAGGTCACTGTAATTTGTTGAGTCTACAACGATAGCAGGAGATTTGCTGACTTGGGCTTCTTTTTTAAATAAATACTTCAATTGAAAACCCTCTTTTTCATAATTGTTTGCTATCAGGAACTAATCTGGGTTTGGAAATCAGTGTGCACTGTCCTTGCCACACCTTCAACCCAAATGGAGACATCATTGACAATGAGAACGAGGTGCTGGAGGTGAAATTTAAAGGTGGGCTTCAATGACATTTTGTCTTATAACTTATTGATGCCAGATGTTAGTTGTTCTTTTAATCTAATTTCTGCAAAAGTTAATGCTGTCTTGCCATCTTCTTTATTCATTTTTTAAAGTCTGCCTTAATTCTGGCAAATAATATCAGATAATTTGTGTATTTATCACTTTAGGTAGTTTGGTACAATGTGGTTTAATTGTAGTTAGTGCTGTCTTTATATTGAAGGTGAACCATTACCCGATTAAACTTTTGCCTCAAAGGACTAAGAATAGACATATATTTTATTTGTGCTTTTAGAAACAATTTGTCAGACAAAATCCTTTTTTTCTTATTTTTTCTTTTGCATTGTGTAAAAGAATTACAGGGATGGCAGGTTTATAGTCAATAATTTAGCAAATTGCATGCTCAGATTGAGGGCAATTACGAAAAAGGAAAAAAGCCACTAAATGGTTGGTTTAAGTGTACCTCGATCATGTCTATAATTAAGGCGTGGATGGAGATGAGGAGCACAAACGCCTGGATCTGGATCACCTGAACAAGAAAAAGGAACAGAACCTGCCTCACCTTATCCTCATGATGATCCCACCCCACCGCCTGGACACTCAGTCCACACGCCGACGCAAGAGAGCGCTGGACACAAACTACTGTTTCTCGTAAGTCATACCTACTTGTACATTTAGTCTTTGGGTCAGTTCATCAAATTCTTCAAATTTCATAATTGCCTGAATGTGAAAAGCTTACACTATTGTTGTGCATCTTCATCACAGAAACACGGAGGAGAGCTGCTGTGTTCGCCGGCTCCACATCGATTTCCGCCGTGACTTGGACTGGAAGTGGATCCATGAGCCCAGTGGTTATGATGCCAACTACTGCTCCGGGCCCTGCCCTTACCTGAGGAGCTCAGATACAACACACAGCTCGGTAAGAACAGAGATACAAAACAGGAGAGTTTGTGGGAAACTTTCCACATTGAAAAAAACAACAGCATAGTTTCATTTATTCTAGTGTTAAGTAGACATACAGTTCTAGTTCTATTTGCCCAGATTTTGAGATATCCACCTCTGAGACCTCTGCCTCCACCTAGAGGTCTTTACAGGACAAATACGTTAGACTCTATCTGAGACCCATGGAAAACCTGCCTGATCCTGACCGACATACAATAATCCAAAATGGACCCATAAATAATTAGACTTGATCCAAATTGCGATCGAGGAGCTAGATAGAGAGAGAACACTGACACTGGCAGAGAAAATTATGTGCCACCAACAAAAAATATTGTTATACTATACTGTTATGTTACTATATTTATGTAATTGTTTTACTTCCCTTCACATTCACACTGTCCTTCACACTTAGGATGCACCATGTGTTCAGAGCTGATAGTGAATCCGCCTGAATCCACCTGAATATTAAACATATTGACACACAAGAGCAACATGCCTTTCCATCAATAATGACCTGTTTGCTCTAGATAATAATAATGTCTAATAATCTTTGGAACTACGTTTTAATAGTCCCTATACAAACTGTTGATAGTGTTGAGTGTAAAGTTTATTCTTGACCTTGGTAAGAAGTAGGACTGTCATGGTTAAGGAATTTCCCGTGCTGTGATTTAGTGTGGCTCAACAGCAAAGTATGCGGTATTATCCCAATTGTTGTTGTTTTTGCAAATTATTTTGTAGGGGGTGCAGTGGGACAATGCTTTATAACAGTATCTGCTTGTCCTAATTACCTGCACTCTCCCTCCCTCCTCTTTATTATTGGGTTAATCGCAATAGCCTTAGTGACAGGGTTCATTTTTAACCTCTTTTAACTTTATGTTTTGGTTCCTGAGCCTGCAGGTGCACTGTATGTTTCAACACTGCTGTGTGTCCAAAAAAAACATTTAGACAAGCAGGCATTATTTTATAGACCTTCATGGCAGAAAATGTGGAAACAAAGCATATTCGATTATCATATAGATGAGTCTATCAGTCTCAGAGTTTAGCTATTACACTGATTTAAACTAGCCAAGATTCAGACACTGACTATAATACAACTGTATGTTTTATTGAAAGTAACTTTTGATCTCTTCTGTGTGCTTTTCAATAGCTGCTGAGCCTGTACAACACTCTGAATCCGGAGGCATCGGCCTCGCCCTGCTGTGTCCCTCAAGACCTGGAACCCCTCACTATACTCTACTACTCTGGACGAACCCCCAAAGTGGAGCAGCTCTCCAACATGATTGTCAAGTCTTGCAAGTGTAGCTGAGAAGACATGAACGAAGAGGTAGTATGGCAGGATTTTACTAGGTACTGACGAAACCCATGCTCGTTGACTTTTGGACTCTTAGCTGTGACAAATACTTAGACTGACCCTGTGGCCTCATGGCTTAGATCTGAACACCACTTTGGAGGTCATTTATTGTTAAGGGTGTAGATTTTCCTAAAAACTTGAGGTCATAATTTTTTTTTTTGTCTTGTTTTTTTTTTCTCCCTCTCCCCCTAGTCAGTTTTGGATGACAAGTAGTAATTTTCCTCTTAACAACTCACTCCAACCCAAACCAAACTTCATCTTGCAATCACAGTATGATTTTAAAGTATTTCTTTCTAGCTTTGTGAAGGTTGAGAGCACACTACTAAAGCTAGATTGCAGAGATCCCTGTACAAAACTATCTGTGACAAAAAGAAAAAATTGCCGGGAGCTGCTTTATGGACAATGAACGAAGGAGACTTACTTTGTAGCATATTTTCTGCAAAATATTCCACAAAGTCACAGTCTCTACATTGTCAGTAGAGCAACTTTCCTGTTTCTAGCCTTGGGGTGACATTGTTAATAGTCACAAATATAGGCTGTGCTCTCCTGAATGGTCAAAGAGTCCTTTTCAGGCTGGATTTTTACCTTGAACTTAATTTCCCTTCCCTTTAAATAGTGGACATTATCTTCAAACACAAAAGGAGAAAGGACAGACTTGCTGCTGTATCCAAAGCCATAGCTGTGGTCAGGGAAAAGGAGAGCTGAGAGAATGCCTGTTGGATTTGCAATGGAAAGTGAATGAACAAAGAAGTTGAGCCAAGCTTTTCTTTTTTGGCCAGCCAGCAGCAATGGCCTTTTTTTTGCGGTGCATCTATTAGAATGGATGATGAAGAAGAAGAAAAGGAAGAAGAAGGAGAAAAAGTGGGGACCTGTATGGAAGGGAAGAACTGTGATGGAAACTAGCCATGAGCACACTGCCATTCACTGGAAGTCCTTACCCCTAACAGGTTCAAATTATTTCTGGGACATCAAAGAATATACTGGAAAAGAACACGTGTTATGCAAGATGTTTTTATGAGATTTCTTTTACATTAATAGCAGATTTGGTCTGTTATGCAACTGTCATATAGTGATTGTTTCACTAACTGGGGCATAAATTGATGTGTATCTCAGTTGTCCATGGTGGAAGCACTTTTATTTGAAACTATGGCTACTGTTACATTTTCTTGTGATTTAGAAAGAATATGCAACTTCTTTGTCCATATGCAATTTAGTTTGACTTATTGTATTAAAAGGGGACTAAATCAGAGCACTTTTCTCCACCAATAACAGGAAATGTCATGTGATTTTAAAAATGCAGCTGTTTACTTCTTGTTTTTTTAAAGTCATACTCTCCTGTCAACTCACCTGTCACCCTTCACTCCAGCCAGCTGATAAGGAATCGCATGTGAAGTCAGAACTCCGGTGTTCCCAAAACACTGCAGTCTTTCATTCCCTCTGCTCGGTCTCTGTTTGTTTTGGTGCTCTTTTACAGTATGAAGCCCTAATGGAACAAAAAATAAAGAGGGAGGGGGGAAAAAAGTCATAACATGACGGTGGCTGGATGTACAGTTAGACCTCATTTTTCTCAGAGTAAGGAGAACGATTCTGAATCCCTGTACTGTTTGACATTCACCCGGTCAGAGTCATCTTGCCTTTAGATGACATTTAGGTGACGTTTTTGGCATTGTTTGATTGACTTATTGATTGTGGTTATTATTAAAAACACAACATGCAAAAATCTGTATGAGCCCTTTTTAAATCTTAAGAATCACTCCAGCAATTACAATGCATTTATTAAATAATCAAATGTAATAGATCTGTAAAAATATTTAACTCCAAAATAGGAAATAATGAATTTACCTACTGGTCTTGTCTGCCATGTTGAAATGCCATTTAAAATGCTATTTTCTCCAAATGTTTTGGTTCCATACGAACATACTTTTTCTTACTTGAATCTCACCAGTCCCACCTGTTTCCTGCAGGCGCAGTGCAGAGGCTTTTTTTCTAGCAGAGTAATAAATTCAACTTCTCTTTCTCAGGGATTGTTGCTTAACAGCTTTCCCAGGCAAAAAGCAATTACTCTTATTTTCAGAACATATTAATATGCAGCCATCTCTTTATTTTCTGATTTTTCATAAAATGGTCAGTATAAATCACACATAAACCTGAGAAACGTATTATACATTTGGTACCACCTTCTAGTTAGCTCCTCCAGCATGACACGTGCTTGGTCTTTTTAGCTCTTGAATTCATCAGGATGACAATAAAAAAGATCTGTAGAGCATCTGCAAGTATTATGTCTTAACTTATTAACATTTGCAACTAAATTTGTGGTTTATTAGAAGCCCTTGCAGTGTATCCATGAATTAACTACTAACATAAGAACCGCAAACTAATTTGGAAAATGAGGAATTCATGAAGCTTTATGATTTTATTAACATGTGTAACTGCAGAATTGATCGCATGTGTTAGATACATTAACAGTTGTTAATGAAAGAGAAAAAACACCCTTCTCTTAGCTCAATCTAATCCAAACGTTGTTCTTATAACTGGCTTATTATGGATCTATATAGCATTACTATATGTTTTATTAATAAAGCCATTATTTACTCATTATAAAGCCTTTATTAAGGGTGGCTTTTTAGAAACTGGTAGCATACATTTTTATGCCATCTTCTGCTACTGGGCTGGCAATCAGTCGCACAGATTTGGGGCTTGGTTGGGTTGAGCTAATATGGACTGACAAGTAGCCAGAGAGAATTCCCTTTCTCTGTGTGCCCGTTATTGTTCCCTGTCACAATCAATCAGAGATGAACCACGATGAAAAGACAAAGACCAGAGGGCACGACGAGGTCTAAAAGCAGGGGTCGGGGCTTTAATGGCTTTGCAGACAGCCCTGTACTAACAAACACACATTACTGGTAAAGAGCAGCCGTGCCCTATGCATGATTGACTTTTAACCTTCAGCAAAAACAAGCAAAAGTCATGTCACTTACGTAAACTGAAGTCCACCATTTGTCCCAAAGCTCTCAGAAGTTTAATATATCACATACACCAACTGCTCTGCAGCTACTGTATGTCACTTTTTACTTAAGTCAGAATATGCAACCAAACCTGGGTGGCTATTCACTGGGCGGACTCTTAAGTGAGAGTAAAATAAAATTGCTGATTCTTCCAGAGTATCTTTTCCCATGTCGGTGTAATGGAAGCAAGCTGAGGGGCTAAAGCAGTGGTGAGGCCTTTCCTAACAGAGGCAGTAGCTTGGCTTGGCTCTTTCTATTCATGCAAGTCATTTTGGCTCACGTAGCGGCCGGCTAGCCACATTGTTCAGCAAAGCACCACACAGACAGTGAAATGCTCACAGTGTGAGACATACGGTAAATCTCACGCTGGAGTGATGGGGAGTGATTGTCTTAAAGTTTAGTATTTGGTGCACCACCTAAATGGATCCAAAAAGAACCTCAGCAGGTAACTGTATGTCATCTTGCCTCTCTCATTTAATTGCATGCATCCTTTTAAAAATGATTGAATATTTAAAAAAAAAAAAAAAGGAGTAAATAGGTTAGGGTTAGGGTTGGATTCTGCTGAGCATGGACTTTTTATAGCTCAGCGTAGACTTTTTATAGGAGATGGACACTCAAGGATGGTTTGAAGATGCAGATAAGAACATTGTTTACTCCTTTCTGGGCGCAAGCTGACCACCTCAACCCCAAACCTGCAATAAACCTATTTCCAGCTCCCGGCTACTGGATGAGCAAGCCATAATCTGATTCGAGTTCAGGGTCCATTTCTGGGTTGGAGTCTGACTTTCTCAGAACTTGTGCTCTTCCACGACTTACCAATGATGAATTGCATGACACGTAAATGCACAGAGGTTTGGAAAACTCTGTCTGCTGTTATTCCCTGAGCAGATTAACAGATGTGGAGGGAGAAAAAAATTGAGAGGGGGAAGTGAGAGACAGAGACACAGAGGGAAAGTAAGTGTGTGTG